AGGAAAGACTTTTTGCATACAAACGATTTTGGCGGGGATCAGGTCGCGTAATGGTATTGGACTCGCTGTGGCGTCCAGTGGGATAGCCGCAACTCTTTTGACCGGTGGTCGAACATTTCACTCGCGATTTTGAGCACCTTTGAAACCTGATAACACGTGTCCCTTCAATATTTCGAAACAGGGTGATCTTGTCGAACTTATCCGGCGTGCGGACTTGATCGTTTGGGATGAGGCTCCGATGAGTAATAAGTTCCACTTGGAAGCTCTTGACAGTACGCTTCGAGATCTCTATAACAGTAACCTTTCGTTTGGAGGAAAGGTTTTGCTTCTTTCTGGGGACTTTCGGCAGGTTTTGCCCATTGTGAAACATGGGTCTCGAGCGCAACAAATTGATGCCTCTATCAAAATGTCTCCTTTGTGGAAACTTTTTGAGGTTCATTGCCTGACTGAGAATATGCGGATCTTAAGCTTAGGGGATGATCCAATGGCACGAATGTATGACGTGTTTTTTATGCGTATTGAGAATGGGGATCATATTCGTTTTGTTCCTAACGAACTTGCCGCGGTCAAAATGCCGCATGAGATTTGCACTGATAAACCTATTCGTGATTTGATTTCCTGGACGTTTGAGGATGTGTGTGAACACGTTGGGGATGCTGACGATTTTTATGTTCGATTGATTCTCTACGCCACCAATGATGATTCGGGATGTGTTAACGATATAGTTCTCAACGATTTCCCTGGCGAGGTGCGTGGAAGTTATAGTGTTGACTACCCTGCTTCTGACGATCACGGACTTGCTATCCAACAGGAGTTCTTAAATTCTCTCAATGAGTCTGGTCTTCCGCCTCATGAACTGCGCTTGAAAATTGGTGCGCCTGTGATGTTGTTGCGCAATTTGTCGCCCAAACAAGGACTTCGCAATGATACAAGGTTAATTCTTAAAAAGATTGTTGACGATGATTTGTTGGAAGTGACCATAATGCGTACCGGTAAAATGACACTGATCTCTAAAATCGATTTAACAAGTGATGGTGAAACCACCGGGTTTAAATGGAATAGGAGGCAGTTCCCCATCCGTCTTGCGTTTGCTGTGACCATTAACAAGTCGCAAGTACAAACTGTCTCTCGTGCCGGGGTTTGGTTGCGCAAACCTGTTTTTGCGCATGGTCAGTTGTATGTTGCTTTGTCGCGCGTTGGTCATCCCAACAACATTCGTGTTGCGTTGCCCGACAAAAAATTCATCACAAAGAATATTGTTTACCATGAACTTTTGCAATGATTTCTTCTCCTTGGTCGTATATATCTCTTTCGGACGAGTTGCCAGGACATGCGCGTCACTTTTTGAATGAGTTCTTCTCTTTTGGCGTATATATCTCTTTCGGCTGATCGGTGTTGAATTTTGGTAAACTTATTTTCTTTTTTTCCCCGCAGGCAAATCTGAACTGCACCATACCTATGGGACATGTGCTCAAATGGAAAAGAGGAAACAAACCGTCAATAGCAATACAACTGATGGTGCTCTGAATGTTACATCTAGACAATAAGGGACCCAGTCAAGGCGATCAAGGAAGAGCCAAAAACAAGATACATTGGATAATGAAAATGAACATACTGGTGGCCATGATATTCTGCGCGATGAAGTTGAAGGTGCCCATCAACAAGCGAGCACCCTCGAGGATGCTGAAAAAATGCGTGTTGACTGTTATAACGATGATTATGATCGGCGTGACAAATTTGTGCATGATTTTTCATTGGGTTTGACCGGTAAGTCTCTGCTCGATGATGACGAAGATGATAGCGATACCAGTGATTCTCAAGCGATTGATTCTACAGCCAAGCGTAATCGTGTTCCTCAGGAAAATAATCTCGTGGGTTCAACTCCAATTGGTGAGCTAACCCTCCGAAATCATCACAATCATGAAGATGAATTTGTCACTCATGGAGTTGTTGGAGATGTGCGTGCTCGTGATTCATGTTCGCAATTCCAACGCTCTGCACAAAGAAAGAAATCATCCACCGTTGCGGCAACTACAGTTCATGGGCATGCGAGTTCAACAATTAATAGAACTGATAATGTGTGTTCAACTGGAATGCTCGAGCGTGCGTTCGCTGCGAATAGGGAGGAACGACAACCGGTTGGTAGTGAAACGAAAAGTCAGGTTTTGAGAGCGCTGGATGACATCTGTACCGATGAACTTGCACCTCTTCTGTTTCGTGGACGACTCCCTGGACGTGCACGTGTTCACGATTCGTGTTCGCAATCTCAACACAGTCAACGTGAAAGAGATATTTGCACCACATGACAACCACAAAATCCTTCAACTGTTATTGTGGTGCCTCATGATAAGGGTGCACCCACAATCGACACTCCGAATCCGCGCGCTTACCTTGGCAAATGGTTCGACGATGCGAAGAAGGTTGGCCTGCAAAAAGTCTTGACTGAGGTGCTTTTTGAAATGTTTGTCCAAACTGCGAGCTTTGCAAAGGATGAAAATATATGGAAAAAGTTTTTGGACTGGGAAAGAAGCAAACTCACAGATATGCGGTTGGAACGAAAATCCCCTTAGACTCTTCCTTCAAACTCATTGAATGTTTCAGATTTGGAGGCTTCTTGGATGTTACAGACGAGTTCATTGCTCTCTCTAATGAGGAGATCACTAGGATGACGTTTGATTTGTCATATTGTCCGACAGAAGGGCCTATTCCCCAACCTTTTTTCAGATATGCACGGATACAACGCCTTTTAAAAAGGATTCCTCCGATGGTTCGTTCTTCYGCTCCTYATTCCGCTCSRGTCCGTAGACTCCCCCTTCCAGCAACATCTCCTCCAACTTTTCAACGTCTTCCGGATTATGCTCCCCCATCCACTATGTCAACGCCGATTGTCACTACTTCTGTTGTTGTTTCYGCTTCGCCTGCCGCTACGGCTACTCCGTCTCYTGTCGGTTGTATTRTGCCCGCTCCCACGCCGTCGAGAGACCATCTCCATGTCTATACAGGACCCTTGGAACAACCAAGTTCTTCTAATTTTAACATTGCGATCTATGACTGTCTTGAATCTATTGGTCCCAAAAGGCCACTTGCACACCTGTCCTATCTTGACAGTTCTTGCAGGGTGGAAGATATTGTGGAAGCAGCAGCGCATGAAGGAAGTTGATATCTCTACTAAGAGAGATAGGAAGAGAGAGGTGTTGGTTGGGCAGTCATTCATACGTTGTCTGAATCATATTTTTTTTGATGGGCAACTTTTCTTTCGGTTAAGTAATTGCCCTTACAAGACAGATATAAAGAGAGAGATAAATAAAGGTG